CAACTGTATACTGGAAAACAGCATGCTGAAGCGTGCCTTAAACACGTATGCTTAAGGATTGTCCAGGAGACTGTCTCTAAACATCTGAACGCAGGATTGTGTTGCCTAACGACAGTAGGTATAATAATCGCATTCTGGAAAACAGCATGCTAGAACGTGCCCTAAGCATATATGCATAAGGATTGTTCAGGAGACTGCCTCCAAACATCTGAACACAGGATTGTGTTGCCTAACGACAGTAGGGATATGCGTAACTGTAAACTTTACCAGAGTTCGAAGAGCTACGAACCTTATTTTTTTTACGTTATATTCGAAAGATCCTACAGTGTTAGTGCGAATAATTTATAAACGAGAAATAAATTTCGCGTGATCAGTTCGAATACTTGATCAAATTTTTGTGACATATTACACAAAAAAATTTGCTAGATTATGGCCCAATAATTATATAATGCAATACGTGCATCGGTGCATGCAATAGTATTTTTACTGATGGCACAGAGTCTGGACACTGTGTCCGGGCTCGTCAAAATTGCGGATCAGCATCCAGTTAAATTTATCTATATTTTTTACGCATATAAGCAAGATTAACGTCAGGTTAAATTTATCTCCAAAAGCGCTGTGCGCATAACTAGTTTATTTTTTCTGATGGTAGTGTCTGGATAAGCTTGTCTGGGCTCATCTCATCATAAGGTACAGGATATGATCACTACACATCCTTTGTACCTTTGGCGCTGCAAGACCATTCTATTCTATGATTGCGAACTTGAGTTTATTGCTTGAAGTGTTGCAGGTAAGACAATATTCCAACTTATCCTGGAAATACAATTTTACTAATTCAGGATCATAAGGGAATTGATTCCCATTTTCGCAGTACCATGAGTCATATAATCCATAATTCCCATGTTTTCCATCACAAATAGGGCATGGTGAGCTCCACGGCTGAGGTGATGTAAAATCATAATTATCAATCCCTCTGAAACTATTTCCGAATTTCAAGTATGGGAAGTGCTCTAAG